TCCTTCATCTACGGTTTTGGATTACGGTCTGGCTTTGGCTACTCTCTCTCAGTTTGGATCACTGGCTTCCCTTGGACTCTCGGCTCTCTCCTTCGGCTACGGTATTAGGATCACGACTCGTCTCTGTCGGCTCCCGCAAGTGGGTTCACTACTTGGTTTCAGTTTCACTGGCCGAATCTGTAACACGTTTGGAAGAACAGGGAATAGCACTCCCAGACTTTCCATACTCCACTATTTCCACCTGCCTTCTGCTTTTAGGCACAGCATGTCCTGCCTCTGTCCCAACAGTTCAAACTGACATTTGCTCAGTACTTTTTTATCACAGCAACACACCTGAGAAGACCCACCTGTGAACCAGCAGGAACACTGATTCTGTAGGGTGAAACGGTGTCTATTTAACTGCACCCCAGTGCAGTGCATCTTACTTAATCTGTCACTCAGATCTGGGAACTGGGATAGGGCAAAGGCGTTAACAGAGAAGTGAACAGGAAGATGTAGGGATCTGTCATTTTTATGGTCCACCACTTCTGATTCCCTTAAAACTAACAATAAAGAATCAATAAAGAGAACCAAGGTGTATTTTGCAGGGTAAGGTGTTTTTCTGCCCTGTGGTTGTAGTTTGTGTTTCTGGGTCTCTTGCCTTACTGCATTTGTGCCTGAGGGGAAACACATGTGAACCAAATGTGCCCCCAGTGAACTGTAACCATGGCGCAAAAGTGGTGTAACATTGTACAAAACTTCTAATAAAAAAAAGAATTGCCTTCTTAAGACTTTATCAGCTTCCAATAATCCCCTCTCCAATAATCACAAATTTGCACAATTGAAGCAGTTTATTTGAAAATATTCCACAAAAACCTGTATCTCATGGAACAGCATAAGAAGGCAGGGGAAACTGTCAACGTTAAAATTAACCATTTCACACTTGGTTGTTAGTTTGTCGAGGATGTCATCCAACTCTTTTGTTTTGAAAGATCCCAGGAAATCTACTTTGGTAATTTGGCAGGATGGTTTATTCCAGACACACACAAATCTTTATTTAAGGGATTTCCTGTTTAGGTCAACACTTTACTGATACTTTAAATGCTTGCATTAGGTTCTCTCCCATTCTGTGTGACATTCCTTTAAAAGCCAAGTATTAATCCAGACACTCTTCCATTAAATGATTTCAGAGAAGCAGTGTCCTCTTTGCTACATGCTAATCAAATTTATTCAAAATATCCCAATATTCAATAACCAAAATATCGAAGAACTGACACAAAATGTCTATAGATTTTAATGCATCAATTTTCAGAACATACTGTACTCTAATGCCCTCTTTTCTTTGTTATTCCCACATTGTCTAGATGAGCACAATGATGAATAAATATAAATACCTTAATCCCTAGGTTGATTTTTCAGTACTTCAGGGTCCATCTATCCATCATTACTGCTGACTAACAAAAAACATTGGGAAAGCTCTAGACTCCAGTAACAACCCCCATGTACAGCTATGGCAGGTGCTCAAGACTATGGGACTGCTTCTGCACAGCCACAACTGCAGCTGCTAATAAAAAATGGGCCTTACTGGAGACCCATTATCCAAATGCCATCTTCAAACACCCTTACAATGATAACGAGTTAGTTTGATTGCACCATATACCGGAACTGTAGTTTGTGAATCAGCATAAAAAGCTTCTTGGTTTAGATACAGGTGAGTGTTCTGACACTGTAAATCCTTATTTGATCATTAAAATACTCATACTGTATATAGAAAAAAACAGTGAATGGTTTGCTGAATCAGTCAGTAACACATGGGTGAGAAACTCATTTGCTATGGTGGCCCGAATTCTCATACATACCATGCAAAATTTAAATACTAGACAGATATTATATTAGTGTTAAGATTATTTATCTGTAGTATTTTGTATTTGTGGTATTCATTTTACAATAACGTTCCTTTAAAATGTAATTAGCAGTAATGTCATGTAGCGGCGAGGCTTATTAATAAGAAAGAATTAAGTGTTCTGAGCCTTCCCAAATGAGGCCCCATTTCTCTGTTCATCTCTGTGGTGCAGCCACAGAGAAACTATTCATGCAGGCTGATTTAAGGTTCCTTTGATAAAGTTTCCTAGGACAGCTCCCAAAGGGGGATGCACTTAGCTAAGCCTGGCTATCATGATCAATGGTCATCCATTGGCGCCTATCTGTCTAGGGAGTGCCAGATGGACATCTGGACTGCATTCCTAGGTGTCAGGAGTAAATGACTCATATCTCACCTTGATCAACCATTCAGGGACTGGTAGGGCCGAGTAACCCACGTGGGACTATGATGCCCATGGAACTTTCAGCCAATCAACGAACTGAAGTTCCTCCAGGTAAAAACAGGCAACACAGAGAGCCTGAGAGATTCAGTAAGATTCAGAGGGAATTCTGAGACTTTTCTAAAGGGAATTCAAAGGAGAATTCCAGGGCAGGACGGCCCAAGAGCAGAAGGCTCCCAAGGGCAGGACATTCTCGCAGCGCGCCTCCTGACCATCCTGAGACTCACCCCGGACAACCACGGAACGGCCAGTGTGTCTGAGTGCCAGAACTTTCCTTTGTTCTAAGAGTCTAGAGCGGAGGTTGCCAGAGAGTAACCAGAGGATCCACCTGAGGTTAGCACCAGCAGCAGGCCTCGTGAACAGGTCGGAACTGTGGACAGCTGAATAACTATTCAGAACTAGCGCTTCATCAGGAACGAACCGGTCCTCTTCCTGACTTGCTGGGACCCACAGTCATCTTTTCTCCTGTGCACAAACTCTTGCTAGTTTCAGCCTAAACTAACTAGCCGGTCTTCAGAAAGCATCAGCAGCGTACCGTCGCAAACCGCACAGCACAGCCTGGCACGGAGCCAGGGAGCGCGGATTGGACAGCAACAAGCCTGCAACTGTTTCTTTGTGCCTGCAGGAGATCTGAATCCCCAGAGATTGGATGAATATTCAACTTCACTGCATTACAGCTCGAGAATTCAATTGTTATCCCAACCAGTTGATATCAATTTAATTCCTAAGAGTTATGTACTTGTTTTGAGTATCTAATGTAGAAGTTGTAACCAAGTTCAATTACGAAACGGTCTAAATGAATGATATACTGAACGTATGTCCTCTTGATATGTGTAACTCTTTGTGACTGACTGAATATATACCTCTTGTATTCTGATAACCCTCACGATAAGATCTATTAGGTTTACATGCATATTCTATGTATTAATAAATGTATCCTTGTGTATTAGTACCTGTGAGTGTGCATTGTTTGAGGTATATCGCATGGTTGGATTCTAAGGCCATTAAAATAATCAATTTTGTGATTTACTGCTACAATTAATAATTGTCCCAGTAAATGCCCAAACCCTACAGAACTGGTGCCTTCAGAGAGCACACTACATTACATTTTGGCTATGGCAACATTACAGTCATATCCACTAGATCTAATTAAGCAAAACCTAATAATTGTCCTCTGAGTATTGTATGTTGTAAGCATTAATTGTAATTATTTAAAATATCATAGTAGTCATTATTATATACTATATAAATCAATGTTCTTTTGAATAAAAAAGTGTCAGAACATCTTGTTTAGTGATCAGCCCCACCTGTAAACTCTGTATGAGGGCCTTGTAAGATGCGCACAGCCACCCAGATAATAAGTGAGATAGTATGATTTCCTTGTTTCCGGCCTCACAGGTTGAACCACTGAGTGTGGTGGGCCATATCTAAACAATGGGCCATGTAAGGGAATGCCATCTTTTTGGCAGTGGGAGTTGATTCATGTAGGGAACTATTGATGTCATCTTCAGGAGTCAGCTTGTTCTAATTGATAGTAATCTCCTTACAGTACATGGCATGATGGGAACCTACCTTTGTTACAGCAACACCAACCTTTTTCTTTCTATGTAACAAGGTTTAACCCCTCACGGCAAAAGATACTCAAGATCTTCAAATTCAATGCAGAACAAATCTCATGGTATTGTTCCTCTGTATAGGCTCATATTAAACCAATTAAGTACCTTGGAAACTGTGCCTTGTGCAGACCTACAGTATATTTCAGTATCAAGCATGGACATGTAACACGGATTACCTGGCAAATGCTTAACAGATTGTATGCAGGACATTCCTTTGAGATATATACAACATCTCTGTGAGAGTACCTCACAAGATACAACCTTGTGTTTGATCATATAACAAACATACCCAGGTATTCATCAAGGGTGTAGTGGTTCTTGACCTTACTGCTTGACCATCTATTGCTTATCTTCATGCCAGATCTGCTTCTGTTATTTATAAAAAAATATGTCTGGATGCATAAATAGGTAACTATCATAATATAACAATATCACACTAATGCTAATGTGTCTGCCTGCTTGACTATAATAAATATAATTAGAAGTTTTTTAGATGGCTCTGCTGCCGCTAATGTTTTACCAGTGAGAAACAGTTGCCAGACCTAAGTATCAATCATGGGATAATGTATATGCATATTAAAAAGGTCTTAATTACTAAGTAACAGAACTTACTAAGTAAGAACTTAATACTGTAGCTCCTTCACCTGGCACTGTGGCCAAAGAGCACCCAGCTGGAGTACACGTTCTCTCTTTCTTTTTCTCTCTGCTTGCATGCAGGCGGTGTGGTTGTGCTTGCTGTGCCAGACGCTCGTCTGAAAAAAAAGTGCAGTTTCTCATTCAAACAAGAGTCCGAATCACTGTGTCAGTCCTCCCCAAACCCGAAAACGTTACAATTTATACAGCATACAGTATATCCCATTATTCACAGCAACATCTGCTCTTCTCATAGACCTGAAAGGTGTTCATTCAAAGACAGTTATGTATAGTGGGGGTAGAAAGTATTGACCCTTGTTGGAGGTTACAGGGGGAGTGGTGGTGTACAGAACAATTCAGTTATTGTCACAGATTTTCTATGGCATTTAAGTCGGGACCGTGACTTTGCCACTCAAGGACATCGATAGTGCTCTAGGTTCTGCCTATATTTTGCTCCATCCATTCTGCTCTCTATTTTGACAAGCCTACCAGTCCTTGCCAATGAAAAGGAACCTCCAACATTGTGCTGTTCCACCGCCATAATCCAATGTGGGGATGGTGTTTTGTGACAGTTGAACAGTGCTGTTCTTTTGCCAGACATAACACACAGCATTAACTCAAATAACTCAATTATTATCTCATCGGATCACAATTTTTTTACATGTAATTTCAGAGGTACTTACATACCTTTTTGCATATTCAAGAGAGGACTTCATATGTATTTTTCAAATATGGCTGCCCTCTCTCCACTCTAAAATACAGCTCAGATTTGTGGAGCAGCTGAACTATTGGTGACTCACCCACAGTTTCTTTCATCTCAATTACGAAACATCATACTGTAGGTCTTTGAGGGTTGTTTTTAACTTCTTGACTGCTTCTCTGACAAAGGTCCTTCTTGCCTGGCTGCTGGGTTTTTGAGGACAAGCTGTTCTTTGAAGATTCTGAGTAGTTGTATGTGTCCTCCACTTCATGATAATTGATTTAACAGTGCTCTGTGGCATATTCAGTGCCTTTGAAATCCTTTCATATCCTTAGCCTGACTTGTGTATGCCCAGAACTTTGTTTCTTTGAGGAAGCTCTTAATTCTTCGTATTATATCCAATGTCCAACAGTGGAAACTCACACTGATAGGTGTATTTAACCTTAGAATGACACGTGTTCAATCTGAATGGCAAATCACCTTAATTGTACAAAGGTTCCAATCAACATATTTAGCTAATTCTCAAGTCTACTGGTTGAGGCAGAGTTTATTAAGGAGTATTAATGCTAAGGGGATTCATATTTTTCAAATGAGGATTTTTAGGGTTTTTATTTTTAGCTAATTTATTTTTTAACTCCAAACTCTTAAACACTTTGTTATTGTAGAGCCCACGTGGGGAGCTGTGGCCATGCTCATGCAAGGCAGGCTGGGAATAGCGGCTGAGGGGTAGGACTACCCACCTGTATATAGTGGGACGAGGGCTGGAGACGCCCTCTTCCCTCTTGTGTCTGTGTAGGTGTGGTGCAGTGCTGTATTTCCCCTGTCCCTAGGTGTGTAACCCCCCACAGCGCCTTTAATAAATCTCCTGCCAACCCGTACCAGAGCCTTCGGCCTGTTTCTTTACATCGGCTAACCCTGTAAGCGTTACAATATATTATGGGATTGTGTATGGAGCAAAAGGGAAAAAAATATGTAAGTCTTTCGAGTTTTCTGGTTGTAACACAACAAAATGTAGTTTGAAATACTTAAAAATACTGTATACACAATGTACAGTATCATTGGACTGAAGCAGTATTGTGTGTGTTAGGCAGTTACTGACGACCAGATCCTCAGTCTGGTCCTCAGTCAGTAATCTGTCGCTGTCCGGGAGGCCATGACAGGGAGGACTCAGGGTGGACTGCAAGGTCTGTGGAGCTGCAGGGGTAATCTATATCACAGACACTTCTGTACCTTTGAGGATGCAGTAGAGGAGATATACAGTATCTGGCTGGCTTGTACAGCCCCATTTGCAGCTAAGAAAAAGGGGTACCTTGATTAGTCACATGCAGAAATCCTGTCTTTTCACTCAGTCTTGTGGAGTCAGCAATTTACGGGCTCCCTTACCCTCTCATGGCGAGCGTCAATAGAGTCAGTGTCAACAAAAGGGTATTTTTACAGAAACCAAAGAAAAGAAAACAACTGCCCTTGAATTCTAGGATACTGGGGCACATTTCACAATTACAAATAAAGAGCCCATTCAGAAAGAATGCTTAACATGGCACACAGTCCAGAATGTTAGCCAGAGAGACCCCAGGATGGAGATTTTTGAGGGGAAGGGGAAGTTACCTTCATCCATAACAATGTAAGTCACTTGATAGAATCCTCTAGCATCTAGAATTAATGAATTCTGCTCTACTTTCTACCACTTTCTTCTACTTTTTTCTACTTTCTTCTACCGTTTCTTTACCATAAATTATACTTTAATGATAATATTTAAATAATCAGTGAGGGCCTTTTATTGTACTTTCATATTAATTTGATTTGGTTCTATGTATAAGGCTAAACCCACATACATTATGGCTTATCACTGCACAGCTCATAAAATCTATACATTGGTTTAATCTCATTGCAGTAACTGACCACTGTTCCTGCAACAGAACAATTTGATAGTTGTTTTAGCTTATGTCCAAGATGTACTGTAAATAAAGAATCATTGAAGGCCATTTTATTGTATATTCATATTATTCATTCATTCCAAGATGTGTGTCCAGGCTGTCTCTTGCTCATCACAGCAGGGTTCAGACAGCTATATTTTTTAGGAGTGGCATATAATTCAGTCTGTAATCTTTTTGGAACAGAAGTATCAGGACTCTGTTATTGTTATTTGTAATTTTTTGGAGAAGGTCCCGAGATGACTTGAGCTGCCAATGAAGAACAATAAGTGAATTGTCTGGCTAAGAAAAAAAAAAGATACCCAGGTATGTTTTCTCAAAATGGAATATCCTTTCAGGTTTAAAGGATATTCCTTTAGGAGTTTGTGCCCCCCATAGCTGATAATAAAGAAAATCGTGAAACCTCAGCTCTTCAGCACGTGGGTGTTGTTTCCAGCAGCCAACCTGAAATCTAATCCAGCAACTGGGAGATGATACTCTAGCCCTGAAACCATGCCTGGCAGGCTGATGTCTAACACTCCCAGAACCTGCCTGCCTGATGGCACCCTGTCCCAGGTTTCCTGGCTCCTGCTGCTGCTCCGCTGAGCCAACATCAAAAAGGATCTGCATTCCTGGCCTTGGCAAAGCACACAGCTGGCGCCTTGCTTGGCAAAGAGCAGCTTTACTGTTTACCAATATGGCATCCTTACTGTGATAACAACAAGAAAACAAATCTGCAGGTAAAACCAAAAGCTCTCTCTTAATGGAAGACCACGTGAAATGCTATGGCAGATTAGGCAATGTACTGTAGTGTTAAAGCTAGCGGGAGTCAGTAATTATAAATGTTTTGTACTTAAAACGGAAAGCTTCTAATAACTTTTTTACATGACAAATTAAAATGGCTTGACTCCCTGTACTTGAAAAGTGAGAGCATTGTCCAGTCATCCTGCTTGCCATCTTGAGAAGATGGAGGAAAAGGGGAAGGTACAGAGGGTATCCAGTCTAGGGATTCTTCCTCACAGATCCTGGCTGTGGAAGAAACATCTGCTGCAAATACACATATCTGAATGCTGAGAGGAATTAAAAATGCAACACATTGAACTTACACACCAGCTTCCTTTTCTAAGCTCTTGATGTTTCTACTTTTCCCTTCTGGGTTAAAAAGCTAAATGTGCTGAAATCAATCTCTTGCAGTCTTCATGGCTTGTTATTTAAAGTATTAGAACTTGCATTTCTACATTACCTGTCTCAATAACAAGCCCTTGTTTCCTACTGATTCTCAGGAACTTTGGCCAGGATGTAAGTCTTGCCAAATCTGAACCCAAGCATGCAGGTGTCACAGGGATAGCCTGCAGCGACAGTGAGAGCTACCTGCAAGTTACAGACACAGTGGTGAAACGTTGGTGCTTTTTGCTTTTAAAGCTTTGGGCAATTGGCCACTCAACCACACCTTGTATGTGGATGTGTGTGTGTTGCGTGGGGGGCGAAGAGATGAAGCTAGAGTAGAGCCAGAGATACAGGACAAGGCTTAGATAAGATTTATTCTGCTGCCACCACACTGCTGAGCCAGCGCCAACTGGGTCAGAACTGCCACTGAACGATTTCTCCTCAACACTCACGCAGAGAAATACTCAACTGTGTGGGGGTGTAGTTTTTTTAGGGAAGGGAGGGGAGGGGGGTCTGGGGAGGACAACCGGAACATTTTGGGAAAGCTATTCATCAAAAATTAAAGCAGCATGAAAGCAGACTTGTAAAACTGCTGATCCAGACTTTTGAAGGAAATTGAGAGAGTGCTCGTGTGTGTGTGTGGAAGAGAACAAGAGGAAGGCAGCAGCACTGCAAAGGAAAGGGGGTTGGGGGAGGTGCCCATAGATTCAAAAATCAAATGAACCAACAATCAAGTGTGCCTGAATCGTGGACCTCTGGTTCAAAGTGCCAAAAGGCACCTGAGATCCATTTGCAATCTGCTACACATAAGCAGTGTTTCAACGCCAGAGAGAACAATGGGCTGCATTGAGGCAGAAGCTGAGGAAACACCACATTGATAATGCTGCTGGAAGGAGTTCTAGCAAACTACCAACCCCTTCATAAGAAATACAGGAGGCAGCCAGTTTATAAACTCAAAGCACAGCTCCAGTGATTCAAAGCGAGATTTTCAAGCTGAGTGATTATCCAGGTGCCCTATTGCCTTTGTATACATTTATAAAGGAGATGAAAAAAACAAGATATGCTGCTGATAGAGTACCAGGGTTGAGAGTTGTTGGTCATCTTGTACAGACCTTGGATTCATACTTTAATGTGCTTGGTCTCCTGTTGAAGGCAGTGAGGAGGAAAAATGTTTTTACCCCCTCGTTTGGTTTGTGAAAATGGCCTCATGTCTTTGTGTGAGGGAACAAAGCATTGTTCTAGTGGTTGGAGAAAACAGCCACCTCCTAGTGAAAGAATCAGGGAGCTGTCTTTACTAGAAAGGCCTATGCTTGACTGTCATTGGGTGGGCAACACTAGTCTG